GCGACTAATAACATTTGTGAAATATGACATGAATGCAGCACTACAAGACCCTCCTTTCCTCCCCCACCTCTGAACCTGACCTCACCTGACCTTACCTGTACACTCTGATTGGCTCTCAGTCCAAACGTGTCACCTGATCTCCTTAAAGACCTGCAGTGCGTTTTTGGCACTGAGGTGACTGCAGTTACATCTCAGTGACAAACCTAGACCGGCTGATAGGTTACCTTCCAATTAACATCCCATACTGTTTATTTACATAGTGCTACTCAGTTAGCTCGCCTGCTAACTGAGGCTACAGTCTGTATAAAAGCATTCAGTAATAAATACTCCAAGCATGCACAGGTTATAGGAGATGAAGGGCTGATTTAGTTCCACAACAACAGCTTATATCCTCAAAGAACCCCCAAAATTTCTGTTAGCACGCACACATTTCCACACAGAGAGGCTAAAAGAGAAAGCAGTCCTGTGCTGATTGACGTGCACTCTCTGGTATTTGGCACAGCGTCACGCTGAGGCTCGGCAAGCTGAGAGAACGGCGACTAGGCGAGGACAAAATGAACGTTTTGAGAGGTTTTCTGTGTAAAACTCAAGCAGTTAAACAGCCAGTGTGCTCTAAATGGGGTCATGTCATAACCACAGCTACACCTGACAACTAAAAATGAGTGTGTGGCCCAGAATCGCATTTCAACAGCAATAAAAATCATGATTTCAGGTTTCCTAAACAGTGTCTGGCTGCAGACAGTCCCTCCTGGCTTCGTGTACAGTGGATTTGATGAATCATCAGGTAAACTGTAAACTGTAAACTCCATCACAAACATCTGTAAATGTTGGATGGATTGATAATGCCAAAGCTGTTTCACAGCTGCACACTAATCAGATTTGGGCATTAGCATTAGCATTAGCATAGTTTAACTTGGAAAACGAAAGGCTTGTAAGAAAGAAGGAGACACCTTATAGATCTTATAGATATCTCAGACTGACTTACAAACGAATTACATTGATGACTCCTGATGAATAACTTCAATTAAAATAAGTAAAATACACATGACTTCACCACCTTTAAGCTCCTGCGTTACATGTACGTGAACCTGTGTAGTCTCCTTTAGGCCCTGGTTAGTGAACACCTTATCCTGAACATGTAAAACGCTCATCCGTTCAGTTCTTTATTAGCAACTTTGCTATCAGTTCTAAGACAACAGGTCCTTTTAACCCTCTGGGGTTGACGGACGCGCCGACGTGTCAAAATCACATGACCAATTTAAGACGACATAGCTACGAGATGCAACAACCCAGAGTCTCCAGTTTAACTTGGGTCGAAAGGGTGGACTTCAAACTATATACCAGTTTTTAAATTGTGTGGATAGGCCATGTAAAACCAGAGTTATGATCAGAAATGCATGCAATGTTTTTTTCTGAACAAAACAGTGGTGTTTACAGCGAGAGGAAAAAGAAAAAACACCCCTTCCCTTCCCTATTGGTGTTAAATTGTGCCATGTCAACCAAACAAAAGATGATATGGCAACATGTGGCATAGTTTGTTTAGGGAGAGGGGGAGGTGACGCTCGCGAGAGAAAGCAGGCGGGCATAGTGGACAGAAACTAGTTGTTGGACTGGCACAAATAATGTGTGTACCTTCTTATTTGATGCAGAAAACCGAATAGTTCAGTAAATAGATTTAAATGGTGAGAACCAGCCAATTCCAGTTTCCAACAATGGCGGCAGAGACTTAGTTTTAATATTACTCTTATTTCTCTTTCTGGGTCACAAAAAACCTTTGAACATATTTTCAGGTGAGAATGTAGCTGTGTGAACTTCAAATATCTGAGCCGACCGACACATCGTCTTCAAACCCCCGCGGTCTTTCGCTACTCGGGTTACACATGATATATAAGTCACTTTGATAACTTAAAAATGTTCTTGTTTGGCTTTTTCAGTGTTTTATTTGTTTGTGAGTAAATCGGTTTGGCTGAGATTAAAGTTATTAGATTAGATTAAATGTAACTTCATTAATTGACGGGAGGGTTCCTCCGGGTTTTCACACAGCTGAATAAAACTAATTAAAGAAAGTGTGAGACGGTTGAGAGTTTACGTCAGTGCCCGGTTATATTTTAGATAGCAAGGAGCAGACGGCAGCATTTCACTCCACCGAGGAAGCGCATGACGTACTACCCGGCTTTCTTTAGACCGCAAAGGCCGGTCCTCAGGTGGAAGCAGCCTCTGAATTTGGACACCTCCGCTGTTTCCGGGCCGGCCAATAATAACGGTGACATTTAACGTATTTTATCCGATAAATAAACACTGTAAAATGTATTTATCACCCCCCCCAACAGCCCTTCTGAATTGTCTCCCTAATCCTGAGGTCTCAAGGTTGGCAAGTATGGCCACAACACCTCACTTTTTTTGCCACATGTATCGAAACCACGTCTCAGCTGTTTGTGGAGGTAAAATACGTCCGCACATGACTACGCTCAGCCATTGTCGTGAGCGCGCACGCCAAGGGGCTGCGAGACATTTATACAGCTGTATTTCGCACATGACTATGAAAGGCGGAAGAGGAAGTAGTTCCTTTGAATGTAGACAATCCGAATGTTATAGTTTCTTTCCACTGTGTTCCTGTTAATGATAACCTACAAATTTACCCTAAATGACTAAAATATCGATATTTTGATGTGAGAATTTATTCTAGAACATAAATGATCGGTATCGGAGGAATCGATATTTCAGGATCGATCCGCACATCACTAGTTAGGGTTACCGATTATGGCTTAAACTGGAGATTCGCTTTGTCTGGTTATTGGATAAAACTGCAACATTAGCAACAAGCAATTTTTTTCTTGCAACCCATTTAAGCTCAGCACTGCAGGTGGAATTTGTTCTAGCCAAGGTGCTAAACTGTTACATTAGTGGTAACATGAAGATGTTAGCTGTCATGTGACGTTTTATATATTCATATCTTTAGAATTTAGATTTTTGCGAGGCGTGAGGTTTTCTGGTTGGTTCTTCCAAACAGGCTCAAATTCTATAAATGACATGTGAATGTTAAGAGGTGAAACCCCGGCTTTACTGACGAATGAATTCTGCGATATGGTTTTTCAATTTTGTTGTCCGGGTGGAAAATCGGGAGAAATTTGGGAGAATGGTGGCTCCGGGAGATTTTTGGGAGGGGCACTGAAATTCGGGATTCTCCCGGAAAAATCGGGAGGGTTGGCATGTATGGTTGTGGCAACATCACTAACCTTGTCAAACACCTCAGAGTAAATCAGAGCACAGGATATGAGGAGTGTATGTTGAGGCGAACTGAAGAGGAGGACAGGGACAGGCGCAGCTAGGGCGAGACAGACGTCTCTCACGGAGTCCTTTAGTGCTGCAGGCAGGCAAGGTGTTCAAATAGCCACAACTTCAGTTTTTTTATTTCTATATGATGAACTCTGCATTATTAAGTGATAAGAACAAGTAATCTGATGTCCTGTAATCATTATGACGCTATAATTTGAGATACAATAAATAAAATAAGTTTTTGTACAAAGTATTGGCTCAGTATCGTCGATACCACCCTGAATATTACTTGGTATCGGATCGGAAAGGAAATCAGTGGTATCGCAAATCACTAACCCTAACTCCGTGTTTTTCAGAAAAGCCAAAGGACTTTTTGAGAAGAAATGTAAATAGTTTTGAAAGGTTATCGTCCCCTGCCAGGAGAATAGTTTAAAAGAGAATAATTTAAAAGAATATTACATATTCTGATAGCGTTAGATTTAAAGATAGAACTCAGAGGGTTAACAGCCACCAGGTCGAACTACCTAAGTTTAAGGTTAGCACTGCAATTCAGACATATGCTAAACAAGCCTAGCTTATAACCTTGCACCATTCAAAGATCACGGCTGTCACAGTTCTTGTGTAGCTGTAAGAACTATGTTCATCCACTGTCACAGCAAAGAGTGAGTACCTGATCCAACACTTCCTAAAACTATGAACAAACTCCTTCCAAGGTTGTTACCAACATGAGGGTTACACTGGCAAACAAAGATATTTCCGAATTATGATTTTAGGCTATTGAGTGAAGACTGAGAAAGAACTTCATACAGGAAGTTGTTGAGGAAGTTCTTCTTGTATCTGCAGTAAAACACTTAACAGAAAGGGAAGCGGGCAGCAGCTGTGAATGCTAGACTAAAGTAAAAGACTGACACTGAAAGGCCGGAGAGAAAAGAAGAATTGATCCATCTCGCATGCTGTGAGCACTCAGAGGGAGTCCAAAAGTAACCTCAACCACCCAAATTAATAGATGTCCTGGAGAACATCAGGAATAATGTGAAACGTTCCATCACTTTACGTCCACTTAGAGCCAAACGCTGTGGTCAGGGAGAATAATTCATTAATTACTAACTCAGAATCGCTTACAGTGAGACGAGCACGGCTAACAGCCAGCAGTCTGAACGCCTGTGGTCAGTTCACGGTCTCTGAAAACCTTGGATGGAACATGATGAATGTTTAGCAGCTCCGGGGACATTTATCATGAATATGCAGAGTAAACATCAGAATCATGCCTCCGGTTTTTTCACAAAGACAGTGAAACAGAGGAAGTCCATCTCTGTGCTGAAACAAAGATCCCTCTCTCTCCTGCCGTCACAGTTCAAAGACTTTTAGAGTTCCTCCTCAGTTTGAGTTAAACTATCACTGCAGCAGCTTCTCCCCGTTTCAGTCCAGCTGAGACTGCGTTTCTAAATTTTTGGCATCAAACCCAACAAACCAGGTCCCCCAGTTCGCACCATTACGGACCATTACGAATCTGAATAATCCCATTTCCCAGGATGTCCATTTCCTCTTGTAATTGTGGCGTCTGAGGAGGAGATAAGCTGCTGCCACAGAATGAAATGAGCATCTGGTGATCCATCCTTTTCTCCAGATCAGGTGTCAGGCGTCAGGATTAGGTTTGTCGGTCGTGTCAGAGGTAGAGCGTCAGGCAGACCATGCTTGTCGTGCAGCAAGAAACAACAGCAAAGAACAGAAACGGGTTTTTATTCGTTTTACATCTGGTGCAGGCGCTCGACAACGATAGTGCTTCAGGAACGGGAGGAAATGGTGTCGTGTCGGGTTCGATGTTGTCATGAAGTCAGTCTCGCCGTGCCGGTTGGTTTGAATCAAGATTTTAATATCACTGGAGAGAGATAAAGATTAAATTCACACAGATTTAAGCTGGTTTTACATTTTTAATGATCCTGAACATTCGAGAAAAGCTTGTAGAGTCAACTTTAGGTCGCTTTTGTGGAGAAAATGACTGAATCGTGAGACTTACATCCCCAGTTCAGGACGATGGCCGCTGCGATGATGGCAATCCCTCCTAAAATGGAGACAACAGACAGCACCATGGCGTTACGGCCCAAACGGCGAGCACCGTCAACGTTGCCTTGCTGCAGACTGTTTCGGGACTGAAGGGAAGCAGAGAGCAAAGAAAACAAGCAATAAACGGTCACTCAACATCGTAAAATAATGATATGATTGGGTTGGGACAACAAGACAACATTATAGTTACAGATAAAAAGAAGAAAAAAAATCAGCAGATTAGACAGCAGACGACTTGATACTGACAATTTAAATGTTATATAAATGTGTTTCTGCCTGCAGCTCCATATTTCTATTGTGGGACATCACCAAAGAACTTTCCAGGCTCTCAGCTAAAATATATTCCTCATTTATCATTCGCTGGTTCTTTCTACAGCCCGAGTTCTTCTTGGAAAAACCAATTTCAGCTCTTTTGTCTTGGTTACTAACATGTAAAATAGATTCTTTTGTTTTTGGAGTTGTCAGCTCTGTTGTCCTTAAAGATTAAAAAGTTTTTGGTTGTGACTTATAAATTTGTCTGAGCTGCTGTTAACTGAGAGGTTTAAATGACACTGTTGTCAGAAGTCGTACCATCACAGAGAAGGTGAGGGCCACGATGTTGATGGGCCACATTGGGCAGAAGCAGGATAAGATGGCGAGGATCAGGTAGTCCCTCGGCTTGGACCCATCCACAGCGGCCTCTGTGATGGCGCTGGGCTGGCGGGTGAGCGAGGGCCTGGGGGAGCCCATCGCTAGCGAGCCAGACCGGCTGCCCAAGCGGGGCCGGCCATTAGCATGGCCAGCTGGCTTTGCATGCAGCTTGGGCGACACAGAGGGCGCTATGGGTGACGAGTCAGCCATGACAGGCGCGATGCCATTACCTAGAAAACAAAAAGCTGTCAGAAGGAACTGAAAAACAACTGATAAGCAACCATCATCTCTGCCGGGGGTTTTAGCTTTTGTTGACTGTGTTAAGCTTCCCTGAAAGTATGTTCCTCAAGAGGAAACCTTGTAGGTGCTGAACAGCTTCACTGTGTTAATAAAAATAAAACACCTAAAAATAGATGTCAGGGTGGGAGAGTCAGGAAGCTCCATGAGATGAACTAGCATGTTGTTTTTGGATATTCTCACAGGAAATGATTGTGATTAAAACAACGATCTGCCAAAAACACCTTTCAATATTTTCTTTCCTGACCTAAAGTGATGCCCCGCTGCGACTGGACCGGGCCGTAATCCTGCTGACACGGTGCAGGCTGTACCAACATAACAAAGCCAGTCAGGACAGTAGGCCATTTCCCATCATGGCCAGAATTTTTATAGTTACCTTATCCTCAGCGCTGTGGCCTACACACAGCTGAAGCCTGATTACAGCGTCTGGGCACCGAACAGCCTCAATAGCCTGGAAAGGTGCTAACCGCTAGGCTAACTAGCAACAAGATGCCTTCCCTCTCCACAGATGACTACCACAGCCTCCTGCAGAAGATTGCAGTACTGGAGACAAATTCATCGCTTAGAAGTAAACGTGGAGGTAAATGGACTGTGTGGAAATGAAAAAACCTTGCCTTTGATTCAAAACAATGGCGATGAGCAAGCTAGTACACAGCTAAGGAGCACAGATAACATGACCAAGAAAGTAGACTCTGTGCATTATTATAAAT